ATGTGGGGTTTGGGCGAGCGGCGTGGGGCTGCGGCTGACGCTGTGCCCCAGGGTGGGAAGCGCAAGAAAGTGTCGGAAGAGAGCCTGGAATCAGATGAGGAGCGAGAGGGGAGAAGCCCGCTGCTGGAGGAGGCGGCATTTGACCCCCCGGGAACACAGGAGCATGGGGATACAGCAGGGGTGGAAGAGGAGGTGCCTGTGGAGACTTCGGGGGGCAGATCCACTCAGAGCCCGGCCGGAACTGCTCTGGAAAGTGCTCCACAGGATGCGGCCGAGGAGCTCAGGGAGACTTCCCAGGCGGAGCTGGCAGCAGAGGTCCAGTCCTTCCTCCAGGTACCCAGCCGGGATTGCTCTCCCTGCGCAGCCGGGGGCCCTTTGCGGTTGGGTTTCCGTGCCTTCATGTTTTCCGCAGGTGCATGGACCGAGGCTGAAAATGCTGCTGCAGAAGGAGCCCAGCGTAAGTGGCTGCTCCCGTCGCTCTGCTGGAGCTGACGGTCTGAACGGGCTTGTGCCAGGGCCTGGAGGGGATGGGAGAGGAAGTGGGTTTCGCAGGGATGACCAGAGGGGGTTGTAAAGTCCCGCTGCCACCTCCTTGGGCTCGGGAACCTGCCTCCAGCTTGCGGGGATCCGCTCTGTGATGGGTCTCTGCAGGGTCAGCGCTGCCCGAAGCGGGGGTGGTAGGGAGAGACCCTCGCTGTGTTTCGTGGGTTGCTTTATTTGGTGTGTAACAGCGTGTTTCCTGCAGCACTCGGCGCTGAGCATCCCACCCGAGCTGCACATCCTGAACAAGTGCTCTCCCAGCCAGGTGAGCCTCAGCATCCTCGCCGGTGCCGCGGAGGGGCCTGCTGCTGTCCCTCATGTCCCTGTCCCCTCTGCCATCCCCAGCTCGAGGGGCTGTGCTCCTTCCTCCAGCTCTCCACGTGCCCGGAGCAGCTGCTGGGGCGTTTCTGCAGCTGGCTGCTGGCTCTCACCCCCGACCTCAGCTACACCAGCGCGGCCGTCCTGGCAGAGCAGCTCTTTCTCAGGCGAGTAAGTGTGAGGGCAGAGGTTTCCTGCACCCCGTTTCCCTCGCCACCATCCCCCATCTCCTGCCTCTTCTGTCGCAGGTCCTGTCCCTCGCCCGGCCGCCCTCCCGCCACCTCATGGCTGCCCTCGCTTCGTTTTGCTCCAAGTATTCCCAGCCCTTCTGCCGCGTCCTGTTGGCCGCAGTCATGCGGGAGCCGGGGGAAGGTGCGGTCGGCTCGAAGGAGGGCATGGCTTGTTCTGGGAGCTGGAGAGGGGCTTGGGGAATTTTGTCACCCAGAATGTGTGTTGGGAACCGTGGAGGGATGGTGGTGGTCTTGTCCAGGCAGGTGAATGCTTGGGAGTGAGGGTGGGAGATGGGTTTACAGATGCTGGAGATGGAGAAGGGTGGCCAAGCTTCCTTCCAGCTTGAGCTCTCACAAAGAATATCTGCCATTCCTCCATGGGCTTGAGGATTCCTGACAGCTCCTAATGCTAGGGCCAAAACTGCCCCAGGGCGGCCCTGCTGGCACAAGGAGAGGGTCCTGCATGAATCACTGCCACAGTAGTATCCCCTTTTCCTAGGGACTGGTGCTGATTAAACCCTTGCTGCAGATGTGCAGAGGAAGCTGGATTATCCTCAACAGTAGAAGGGGACACTCCCTGGTTTCTGGGTGTCCTGACAGGGATATATCCCTGTGTGAAGGGGTGCCAGGAAGGTTCAGGCATGTGCCCATGGATTTGGCAGCCTCTGGAGGCTCTTCTGCATTTGCTTCGGCCTTGCAGGTGCTGAGCAGACCAAGCTGGTGTGTGAGCTCGTGGAGGAGTGCCTGGAGCCAGACTCTGTGATACTGGTGCTAAGGTAAAAGATTAACAAGGCTACAGGGGTGGCAGCTCTGCTTCTGCCCTCACACCTGCCTCGATGGGTCCAGCTGGCTCAGGAGCAGCAGTGAGGCTGTGTGAGCATCGCATCTCTTCACTGACCTTTGCAGCCAAGTCCTGGAGGTGCCTTTGTCGGAGAAGCTCCTGCCAGTAGTGCAGGCCGTGCTGGGGCGTCAGGTGAGGGGACTCCCCCCTTGTCTCCTGGGTTTCCTTGCCAGCTCCAGCAGTGCTGGAGCCAGATCCAGCTCTCCTCCCTGCTTGTGGCACTCTTCTAGGAGGTGATTCCCCCTGAGCTCTTTGATCTCTTGGTCCTGACTCTGTGCCGGCACGCCCCAGCCTTTGCCATGTCACAGAATTATGCCAAGCTGGTGATGGCTGTGCTCACCACTTACCAAAGCCAGGTGAGCATGAGCCGGCTTGGGTCCTGCAGATCAGCTGGTGACCCACGACCTGGCGCAGGGGTCTCGGGTGGGCTCCTGGCAGTGCAGCTCTCCAGGCACCTTGCCTCTCTCCATCCCAGGTCACCCCAGGCCACCGGAGCTGTCTGGCTGCGGCTCTGGATCACAGCAAGGCAGCTCTGAGGAAATCGCTGCAGGCTGTGCTGGAAGGACCCAGGTGAGATGGATGCTGTGCCCTCCAGGCTGGGGTCTCTCACTGGGGAAAGGCAGCCTCCCTGCTCCTGGTCTGCCCGGGGTGGTGCGAAAACACTGAGTGCCCACAGAAGCTGTGCTGGAGTGGATTTGGTGCTGGGTTTCCCTTCCCTTGATTTCTCTCCTTTTTTCTCTCTCCTCCTAGGTGAGCAGCAAAGGGAACTGTGAGGCGATGGCTACCTCAGGTGGAATATGCATTTAGGTGGTGGTAGCTGCAGCCCAGTCCCTTACTGGGGTTCACCACCAGCATGATGGATGCCCAGCCAGTATGGGCTACAGCACGCAGAGCCCGTGACACCCCTTGCAGCCGTGCTTTGTGCTCAGCTCACCCAGTCTGAGGTGTGCTGTTGTTGGGCAGGGCCAGTCTGGCCACACACACAGACGTCCCGAGGCTGGAAGATGAGGGTTTTCTGTGTTTAAAACAACGAATTCTTTTCAGTCACTTCTGTCTGGTCTGTCTGTGAGCCGCCGGGGAGCTTCCCGCCGCGGGTTCCTCGCCACACGCAAGATGGCGCCTCCCGCTTTCCCCTTCTGCCACGCTAAAGATGGCGCCTCGCTCCCCGCCTTCCCAAGATGGCGGCGGAGGAGGAGCCGCGTAGGGCCTGGGCTGCAGGACGCGTGAGGGCAGTGCCTGGGTTCTCCTCACCCAACCTCTGGTGGTGTGGGCACCCCAAAGTCCTGGATTGCCCCGTATCGATGCCGGGCCTGCGGGTGTGAGGGGTGTCCGGGCTGCACATCGTCTGGAGGGCATAATCGCACCAAGGTGACTCTTCAGGAGATACCTTGTGCCCAAAAGACAGGAGAACAAAAAATCCATTATTTCTCATTATTGATGGAGCGCTGTTGTCACACAAGTACTTGAGGAGTGAGTGAAGGGGGGCTGCGGTGATTCTGGGCACAAGGATGGCCGCCATTTCCCCTCAGAGAGGAGAGGTTGCCCGTTTTCCCTGTACATTCCCCGATACAGGAATTTCTATCAATCAGGTTCCCGTGTTACCCAACCAGAGAGTGAGAAGCTGCAGAAGTGATTCTGTGCTTTCAGGTCCCCTTTGGCTGAAGGATGATGTCTCCTGCCCTGAACCAGCCTCTGATACCTTTGTGAATCTGCAGAGCTGGTTGAGCATCCATATGCCTCAGCACTCTGGTTTGCGTGTCTCTACTTGCTTCAGTCAGACGAGATCCACTTCCCCATTAGAAATGGTGCGACACAGCTGCTCGATTTCCTCTGTGTGTGCACCCGTCTTTCCCAGCTAAGGCGTACGAGGCCTTCCCGGCATCAGCCCTTGCAGTAGGTTGCTCCTTCCTGGTTCCAGATCTGCACAAAGCTGGCAAACCTCCTCCTCCTCCTCTAGTAGCTAAGGTGATGAGTCAGCTTGTTCAAAACCTTTATATTTCAAGTGATTTTTTTTTTTTTCCCAAAGTTTTGGTGGCCCAGAGCAACAAGCAATATTGCATGATGGGCTTCACAGGTCCGTAATTCTTGGTGCCCTTAACACATTGCTGAATCAAACTGATTTGAGGCTGTTTGAAGATGATGATTCTGGGCCTGCCTTAGTTGACCCATTCTCACTTCTATCAGGGCTCCAAGGAGCCAAGGCACAAGTGGTATGTTTTGTGCATGTCAGGCTTTGCAACAGCTCAGATGATTTTTTTTTTGGTTGATGGCAGCAATGATCTGCTGGGTTGTTTATCTGGAATGCTGGGCTTTACAGATCTCTGCATGCAGAAGAGTGGGGTTTAGAGGAAGAACTGGTAAACTTTAATTTTCTACTTTGAATCTGCCATTTTTTCTTTTTACCAGGGCCCTTCTCTGTGTCAGGTTTCTAGTTTTCCACATGGCAACGATGGCAGTTCCCATTACAAGGCTTTTAGTGATGCACTAATAAAAAGTGCTTCTATAGCATGACTGTGTCCAAATTTCTCTCCTGTATCCTTGAAAACACTCACCAGAAACCTCATCTGGGCACCCTGTGGTCAGAGGGCTGGAAGGGTGAGGATGGGAGAGAGCTCATGGGCTCTGAGGGAGTTAGTGCTAGGGTAATGGTGGTTTTGAAGCATTGCATACTTCAGGACTTATTTAAAAATTCATAAACATTTACACCTACAAAGGGAGAAGAGGGATTAAAATGTGTAGGTGTGACATGTTACTGCTTCGAGTTTGCTTGCTGGTGTTTGGATACAGCCAGAGCAACGAAACTCTGAGGCATTGTGATGCTATTAATGCTGAGGGCACAAATTTCTCTACAGTAAGAATCCCATGAGCTATTTGAGGTGACAGTGGACTGATGAGGCTTCCAACTCCACGTTAGCGAGAGGAAAGGAACATCCAGTGAGACAAATTGTTGATGTGTTTGCATACCAGTGACTTAGTGGCTGAGTATATTGAGGCTATTGTAGGGCTGCCCAAAATGTGACATAAATAGAAATTATGCCCTGATCACCAAGGTCTGAGCCTGCTCTTCTGGCTTTATTAGGTAGCAGGCTGCAGTCTTTGCAGTTTCCCTGCACAGCTTCCACCAAGTGACCTCGGTGTCCTTGTCCCCGGTGCATCCTCTGGCTGTGGCTGTCATGAAGATGAGTGAGGAAAAACCCCTCCCTAACTCACCTTTTGCTAGCTTCCCCATGTCCTTGCTGAAGAACTGGATGATGATGTGTGCCGTGCATATGCAGAGCACCGTGGGGAAGCCCCAGCTTCCCTATGGATTGGGCAGCAATTAATGGTTTGACATCTCTTGGCTGCGGTGTGCGTCTCCTCCCTGATGGGTGTTTGGTTTTGTAACTGGTTTCTTTAGGCAACGGTCTCGTTTTGACAGGCTGTTCTTGACTGCTATGTGCCGTATGCAGCTTGCACTTCCAACTCATCTGGAGATACTGGGAGCTGCGTTTTGGGTCAGCCTACGTGTTTTCTGCAAGAAACAGTAGTCAAGCAGGGGTGGGCTTTGCAAACTGCAAGGGGGGTTCCTGTGCTGCTGGGAAGCACTATGGGGACTTGTGGAAAGAGATGACTTAGCCCTGGTTCTGCTCTTGGTTGCAGCTCACCTTGGGTTCTTCTGGGGTGTGTGTGTGAGATAAACCATGTTGGGAGAACTGGAAGTGACCCCTGGAGTCACGGGACATGCTGGGGGAAGATGGTTGTGTATGTGGTGGTTGGTAGCACCCGCACAGAGAACTTTTGACTTTTGACTCCTCTGGAAAAACCCAGCCTGACCAGTGCAGAGCTGGATTTGTTATGAAATGTCACTTGGGTTTTATAGTTCAGCAGAGCTTTCTCCAGGAGCAGAGGGAGCCAGGGATGGGTTTGCTCTTACTTATTCTGAGTTGGGGAAGGTCTGAAGTGCCGTTTTAGAGGTTTTCTAGGCTGTGTGTAGAATTTTCGGCTGACTTGGGATATTTGGCAGTGGTTCCTCTTCTGCTTCCTCTTCTCTTTGCACAGCTGTATGCCTTTCATGGTAGGGAGGGGAATTCCCTTGGTGGCCTCATAGTAGTTTGGGTTTTAAGGAAATTAATTGTATGTAATCGCATTAGGTTGTCTGTCCACTCTGCTGCCACCCATGGCGATTTTTGAACCAGTTTCATGACAAAACGCTCTCTCTGCTCCCCAGATGCCATCTTGGCACTGTTTGACAGCAGAGAACCTCCTTTGGGTGGGCTGACACGTGCGAATGCTGCAACCACAGACATTACCAGAGCTGTGTGGGAGCCAGACCACTTTGGTCCTTGTTGGAAAGGGTCAAAACTCACTGCTTTCCTGCCTGTATCCACCCCCTGAGGGGCTGCCCCTTTCCAAAGGTGAGCTGCAGGCACCTCCAGGTAGTTCCATGTTCCCTCCTGCGGCAGCGTTGGGAGCTGATAATAATCCTGTTTCTCCCTGGAGGTAATTGCGTTTCGGTGACGACTTGTTCACATGCACGTAATCCCCAATATGCTGATGCAGTTTTGCGTTGAAATCTGGTGACCGTAACACCCAGATGTGAAGCTGAACTGCTCAGGGGAAGGCTCAGCAGTCTTTTCTTCAATATAGAATTTAAAATTAAACCAAAAGAAGCAAAACCTCTCTTTCTCATCTGTGGGTGTTTGGGTTCTTTTTGCCAACAACCTTTTAATCATAATAAGAGAGTCGTGTTCTCCCTGGGTTTCTGGTGGCTGCCAGGTCCCTGTCAGATGGGGAGACCAGGGCCACATGAAGATGAATTTTTTTGAGGGCTGGGGTGATGCTTTATGCTTGGGCCCCCTGCACAGACCTAATAAATCACACTTGCTGTCTCAGCAGTAGCAGCCAGTGTCAGTCTGAGCAGCTTTCCTCTGAGAACTGGATAATCCAGATGACCACGGTCTCTGCGATCTGAGCTGCAGGTTCAGCCCAGCTTCAGGAGGAGCCCTGGGAAGATGCCGTCGCAGTAGGCTGCCACGTCGCCAGTGGGACCTCGCTCGAAGGAGACACCGGGGCAAAGCCAGAGCCTGCAGCAGCTTCCTGCCTCTCACATCTCAGAGCTGGAGAGCTCCCAGCACAGTCTTGTTCATCCCTGCTGACCAGGTCAGTGCATGGGAAGCTGGGCTGCTTTAGCTTGTTTGAGGCCCTGCGGTACCCAGAGCGTAATCACAATGGTCCCAGGTTAAAAATAAGAATACATAAAAATCTCTGGGTGCTTTTAGGAAATGCTTGTAGAGGCTTTTTGGATGGAGTTTTTTGCAAAGAGAGTTGTTGCCTCTCATTGAAGCCCTCAGCTCTTTTCTGTGGGAGTGAATAGTGTTTGAGCAGAAAAGCTCTGTTCTGGTGTGGGGAACCAACACGACGGTGTCCTTAGGTCTGTGTTCTCCGTGGAGCATCTCGCTGCAGCCGTGGACCTGCTGGGGCACTAGAGCAGAGGCTACAGAGCCTCATGTGCTGCCTTGCCCAGTGCCAGGCTGCGGCTCCTGGGGAGGAATCGGGGCCTCTGTGGGGATGTGTGTTGATGTCAAGACACTGGTGTATGCAAAGGTGACTGCCCTCCATCCCTTGAGCCCACCAGCCTCTGCCGCTGCGCTGCCCATGCTTGGGGGCAGGTGGTTTTGTACCCTCTGTCTGCTGAGCGTTAGGCTGTGAAGGTACTTTTACTTCTATGCCCAGCTACAGGAGGTTGGCTGCAGGATCTGTCAAGGAGAGACCTCGTGCTTGGCTGGAAGGAACACTCAGCAATAAAATACGTAGTTTAGACCTATGTGCCCAAGCAGACCTTCCTGTAAAGCAGGCAGGGGTGGTCCTTAAGGAGTCGGATGCCCTCAAGGAGGGGAATGGCATCATCGGTTGGGTGCTGAGCTCTGTCTGCTGAGTCTCAGCCCACAGGAAGGGGCTCCCCCTCTCCCCTTTCCCAAACAAACGTGTGCCTGGAGGCGAGGCAGGCTGGTGAGGGGCTTGGCAGTACTAGTGCGATTCTGACTTCATGCCTGAGGATTCACCTGCATTTTGAGATACCAACCAGACCTGCATGACTGGGAAAGCACTAGGGGCAAGGGGGGAGCTCTGCTGCTCAGGCTATCCCTGCTGCACCGCATCCTGGCTCAGCTGCCTCTGGACAGATGTGCATGGATATGCCCACCTGTGGGATGGATCTGGCCCTGCCATCGCAAGCCCCGAGCATCCTCTTGCTGCTTGGACCAGGGGACCTATTCACTCTGGGAAGTGTGTCTTGGGAAATCCTTCTCTGAAAAGAAGCACAAGTGGTCAGCCCCTGCCCCTGGAAGCTCTTGGAGATTGACAGCAAAGGGATGGGGAAGAGAGGGAATCCCAGGGAAGATATGTTAAGCAAAGGCAGAGGATGTATAAGAATATAAGGCAGAGGGTGTCAGTGCCAGACTACCTTACAGCATATCCGGTGCCTAGTGCTGATGGTGCCAACTTAAGATACGTTAATTGTCATTAATTGGTGCTAATCATGCATACCACAGCTTTTGTTGCTAGGTATGTGTCTTAAGGGGAAGACATCACAGGAATTTGGGGCTATTCTTCCCCTGAGTCACATTTTCTCAGCTGCTCTTCTTTTGGGTCAGGTTTGAGCTGGAGGTGTTTGCCCCAGGCAGGGAAAACCCATCAAGCTTCGAGGATATTTGAAATCCTGACCTGGTGTGGACCATTGTCGATGGCCGTTTCCAAAGCCTCATCCCGCTGTGGCCCAGCACAGCTCCTGCTTCAAGGCCTCTCAACACCCTCCCTGGCTGCTCCTTGGCCCTGGGGCCGCATCCCGCACTCTCTGCGGATGGGTACGAGGCCTGGCCAGCCCTGATGCCGTTTGCTGGCTGACCTCTGAGGGC